GGTTTTGAATCTTTATTCACAAGGAATATTGATCTATTAAATTTTAATTTTTATAATGTATATACCAGGCTTTGGTATCAAGATTATGCTGATAGATTTTAAATAAGTTTGTTATTTCTTTTTAGAATAGTGATAGAATTCACCAAGGAAATCATCTGAAATTTTCTGGTTGAAGATTTTAAGATTTAAAAAAAATTTAAAATCTTATTTCTTTTGTATTTTGTCCATTTTTGATGTTATATTTCTTAGAAAATTTGTGTATCTTATTTATATAATTTTGGAAATAGAAGTTATCAGCAATGTTGTATTGTTTTCCTGTTAATATTTGCAGAATCCTTCATTTCTAATCCCAATTTTTTTTCTCTTCCTCCTTCACTAAAAATGATTATTTTTCTTGGTGCTTACCAATTTTGTTGACATTTTCAACAAACCAGGTTTTATGTTTTTTTACTATCCTTTGCTTTCTATTTCCTTAGTTTCTGATTTTAATTTTATTATTTCGTGGTTTCTACTTATTTTTTTATGTTGATGTCTTGCCAGACAAGGTTCTTGTTGTCTGAACTGATAGGAAACCAAAGGTGGGCAACCCTGCTAATGTCCTTACAGAACAGCGTGTGGCAGCAAAAAGGAGGGTGGACAGGGGCCCAGAGCAGAAGTGAAGGGACAAATGGAAGATATGCAGCAATGATGCTTTGCCAATGCTAGGGTTAGAATTCAGGGTTTTACTTTCCTCAAGCATATTACCAAATGCTCTTGTAATCTATTCTTTGTGACATTGTCTCCTTTTCTTTGCCTTGGGATGTATCCTGATTTCTCCTACAATATTGCTTTTTGAGTTTTTTTCTTTCCAAAGAACCCCTAACAACAGAGGGGAATAAAACCTGGCTTTTAAAAACTGTCTTTTCAGATCAGTTTCCAGTAATTGGGTAAAATAAAGTTGTGGAACTTTTTTCTGAATGTATTAAATATTAAGAACCATAAGGGATCATGCTGTGGCATAGTAGGTAAAGCTGCTACCTGCAATGTTGGCATCCCCTGTGGGCACAGGTTCGAGTCCCAGCTGCTGATCCAGCTCCCTGCTAATGTGCCTAGGAAAACATTGCAGGATGGTCCAAATGCTTGGGCCCCTGCACCCATGTGAGAGACCTGGAGGAAGCTCCTGGCTTCAGCCTGGCCCAGCCCTGGCCATGTGGCCATTTGGGGAATGAACCAGGAAATGGAAGATATTCATTCTCTTTATCTCTCTCTCTCTCTCTCCTTCTCCCTCTCTCTCCCTCTCTCTCCCTCCCCTTCCCTCTCTCCCTCCTTCTCTCTCTCTGTATTTTTTTTTAACTTTTATTTAATGAATATAAATTTCCAAAGTACGATTTATGGATTACAATGGCTTCCCCCACATACCGTCCCTCCCACCCACTACCCTCCCCTTTCCCACTCCCTCTCCCCTTCCATTCACATCAAGATTCATTTTCGATTATCTTAATATACAGAAGATCAGCTTAGTATACATTAAGTAAGGATTTCAACAGTTTGCTCTCACACAGAAACATAAAGTGAAAAATAATAGATGATTTTTTTAAATGATGATGAAATCAGATCAGACCTATTGTCATGTTTAATCCCAGTGAGAGTCAAGTTGGAAGTTGATAATTTCTTTTTTTTTTTTTTACAGAGGATCAGTTTAGTATACATTAAGTAAAGATTTCAACAGTTTGCACCCCCATAAAAACACAAAGTGAAATATATTGTTTGAGTACTCATTATAGCATTAAATCTCAATACACAGCACATTAAGGACAGAGATCCTACATGAGGAGTAAGTGCACAGTGACTCCTGTTGTTGACTTTACCAATTGACACTCCTGTCTATGGCATCAGTAGTCTCCCTATGCTCCGGTCATGAGTTTCCAAGGCTATGGAAGCCCTCTGAGTTCTCCGATTCTTTTCTTGTTTAGACAAGCTCATAGTCAAAGTGGAGGTTCTCTCCTCCCTTCAGAGAAAGGTACCTCCTTCTTTGAAGACCTGTTCTTTCCACTGGGATCTCATCGCAGAGATCTTTTGCCAGAGTGTCTTGGCTTTCCATGCCTGAAATACTCTCATAGGCTTTTCAGCCAGATCCGAATGCCTTTAGGGCTGATTCTGAGGCCAGAGTGCTATTTAGGACATCTGCCATTCTATGAGTCTGCTGAGTATCTCACTTCCCATGTTGGATCACTCTCCCCTTTATTTATTCCATCGGTTAGTGTTAGCAGGTACTAGACTTGTTTATGTGCTCCCTTTGACTCTTAGTCCTTTCATTATGATCAATTGTGAACTGAAATTGATCACTTGGAATAGTGAGATGGCATTGGTACATGCCACCTTGATGGGATTGAATTGGAATCCCCTGGTATGTTTTTAACTCTACCATTTGGGGCAAGTCAGCTTGAGCATGTCCCAAATTATACATCTCTCTCTGTATTTCTTTCAAATAAATAAAAATCTGGTTTTTTTTTAAAAAAAAACCATAAATACTAGATTTTCATGTGAGTATCCACTATCATTTCTTCTGCTCTTCAGAAGAATTATGTTCAGTGATCGATTTCTTGTGGTGGTATCTCTTGTTAAATAAGTACTATCTTTCTTTTTTAGAGACTTCCAGTTCACATTGAGATAGGAGAAACACTAAGAAATGTTGCAATTAAAAGTGTGCTTATTGGTTTTGTAATAGCCAACTGTTTCTCAAATCTATTTGTGCAATACTTTTCTGCTGAACACTTATTTACATTCATAGAGATGTAAATGTGGTTGATAACAGTTGCTCTAACCTGAAGAAGCAAGAGTAACAAATCACTTCAGGCATATAAAAGTCTTTCAGATGAGCAATAGCTGTGTTTCTTGGGGGCCTGGTGCTGCTGCCCAATTCTCCTGTGAGCCTCTTCCCTGTTCCCACCATTCTTTGCGTGTGCCGCCTTCATAAGTTCCCTGGTGTCTACTGGTACTTGACACACAGAAGGTGTTCTGTGCTGAATTTGAAACATATGAATTTCATTAATTTTTATTCGTCTCCCACAGCATTTTTTTTATTTTTATTTGAGAGAGAGAGAAGGAGGGAGGGAGAGAGAGAGAAAGAGAATCTTGCATCTGCTGGTTCACTTCACAAATGCTTATAACAGCCAGGGCTGGGTCAGGTCAAAGCTGGGAAGCTGGGATTCAGCCTGGATCTCCCACAGGGGTGGCAGGTCCCCAAGTACTTGAGCCATTGTCTGCTGCCTCCCAGGGTGTGCATGAGTAGAAAGCTGGGATTGAGGAGCCAGGACTCAAACTCAGCCAATCTGGTATTGGGATGCAGGCCTCCCAGGTAGCATCGTAAATGCTATCCTGAACACCCACTCCACCAGTATCTTTTATAAAAAGGACCATTTTTTGCGTACTAAATACAAAGTTTTCTAATTGATATCAGAATCTGAGAAGAAAGTAGTTGATGAAAAGAATAGCTATGATAGCTTTGTAGTTTAATATATGAATTTCTGGGAGAAATTAGAAAATAATCTGTTTTTATTGATCAAATACAAGCAAAGACGCTGCAAAACCTGGAGATCATTTGTATTGTGACCTGTAAGAGTAAAGACATAGATCAAATATGGTCAGTACTCCAGGTCATCAGTGACATCTAGTGTGTGTAAGGGATAGTATGTCAGTTGGACAGCTAGTCCAACTCTGAAAAGACAGAACTTCTTAAAGTTCTTTTCCTAAAATTGTAAAGCAAGAGTAGTGATCCCTTTGCTTATATTTAAGAGCTTGCAACTATCTACCATAAATCATTAGAATATATCAGTGCACATAAAGAAATAATGTCGGTGAAATATTTAAAAGCATTTTGTTAATTAACTGAACTTCTTGTTAAAATATTATCAGTTGCCCTTATGTAGAAGGTATCAAAATCAAGTATTCACTAATTGGGAGAGAAAGAGACAGAGATTTTAGTTTAGACAAAGTGGCTAACTCTGGCAGTCATTGGTTATAAGTAGTTTTCTAACTCAGGTTTATAATAAGAAGGTTTTGGACCCTGAAACACTCAGAGCTGACTCTGACACAAGACCAAGACCTTTCTTCTTCTTCCTTTTTTTTTTTTTTGATCCGTTTATTTTTTTGAAAGGCAGAGTAGGTGCAGGGGTCATCCTCTGCTGCTTTCCCAGGCCATCAGCAGAGAGCTGGATCAGAAGTGGAGCAGTCAGGATGCAGAGCGGTGCCCATAGATTAACCCACTACACCATAACACCAGCACTAGTCCTTCCCACTGTGGTGCATTCATGATGAAGTTTACAGGAGGAACCTGGCTTCATCTCATTAATTGAAGATGGGGAATTTGCTTGTAAATTAAATTTTTTAATTCAGGTACAGGACCTATTTTGATTGCTAGTGATGCTTAATTTTTACTTTAAATATATTTTAAATCTCATGTTCACCCTGCACTGTGTTGACTTTTACTTATTCTGTGAATATTTTGGTACTGATACCAGGACTTGTCTTCTAGGAGTTGTGACCCTTTAGGGTCTCAGAGAATTTTGAAGAGACAGAAAATATTTAAATGTAGGCAGAAAATGTTCCACCCTATGAATAACTCAAGAATGCGGATCTCAAAATGATTTATTTTAAACCATGGTATTGAAATATCTTTTTTAGTTTCACTAAGAATCATCTTAGCAAAATAGGAACAAAGTACAGGTTAAATTTCCTGGTTTGAAATGCTTGGGACCAGAAGTGTTTGAATTTCTTAATTTTTTTGAATATGTTCCTATATGTAGTGAGATATCTTGGGATGAGACCTAAATATAAACATAAAATTCATTTGTGTTTCATATACACCCTACACATACATGTAGGCTGAAGGAAATTTCAGACAGCATTCCTAGTGTACCTGAGTTTTGATGGTGACACATCACATGAAGACAGATGTGGAATTTTCCTCTTGTGATGTCATGTCATTGCTCACAAAGTCGCAGATTTTGGAGCATTTCAGATTTGGATTAGGGATGTGCAAAGACTTTGTTCAGTTCTGACAGATTCTGTGACAGAGTACGTATTTGGCTGCCACAAAGTCATGTTGTGGTGTAGGCTTCAAAGTGAGTTTTTGGGAAAGAATGAGGATCAGTTTGGAATCGGTCATCTTATTACTTATAGTACTATCACATAGGTCATGGCCACATTCCTTAGCTTCTCAAGCCATACTCAAATTTTCAGCAAGTGACTGCTGAGTATCTAGAACGTGCCAGGAGCCATTCTAGGCTTGGACTAAGATTCAGCCCTTGAGAAGCCTGTCTGTTATCTGGGAAGACTGCAAACAAACACTATACAAAGCTGGATAATAGGGAGTATATGCTGTGGGTGTGCTATTTTACATGGAATGACTAGAGAGGATCTTGAAGAAGAGATGACATTTGGGTGAGTCAGGGAAGGTATTTAAGAGAATAATGTCCCAAGCAGTGGAACATCAAGTCCAAATGCAAGAGTGTACCTGGCATGCTTCGGGAACAGTATGTGGCTAATGCCTGATGCCCTTGAGTGGAGATAACAAGAGAGAGTGGAAGAAAATGAGTTCAGAAAGGGAGCAGGGAGTCACAGGTAAATGATGTATTCATAGGATGCTGAGCTGTGAGGTGGCGTGATCTTAACTGTTTCATAAAAGGACCACTTTGGCTGCTGTCCTAGATTTAAGATTTGTTTATTTGAGAGGAAGATTTAAAGACAGAGGGAGAGACAGAGTGAGGTCATCCATCCACTAGTTTACTCCCCAAATGGCCGCAATGGCCAAAACTGGGCCAATTTGAAGCCAGGAGCCATGATCTTCTTCGGGGTGTCTCATGTAGGTTCAGGGGACTAAGCACTTGAGCCATCTTCTACTGCTGTCCCGGGCCATAAATAGAGAGCTGGATCAGAAGAAGAGCACCTGGGACATGAACTGGCACCCATATGGAATGCCAATGCTGCAGGTGGAGGCTTACCTACTAAGCAGAGTGCCAGCACCTCTATCAGTGTATTTTTTAAAACTGACTAACAAGTCCTTATTTATAGCCAGAATCAAGGCCAGATTGACAAATGGGAGTGGTCAGGACAAAGGAGAGGGAGAAGTGTGGTCAGTGAGGAAACAATCAGACAGGAGAGCTGTGTTGCAGATTTTAACTGACGGAAATGTCTGAAGAGGGAGGAGGTGTCTAGTCTAATACTGCCGAGTGGAAGGAATGACGGTGTATGTCCGTCTATGTGGAGAGCACTGTTCACCCAGAGCAGATGCGATGGAGAGGTGAGGATGAAAGACTGATTGAGGAGCTACAAGAGAGGAGAGAAGTAGAGAGAGCAAGATCACCTCTATCCAGAGCCCTTGTGCTATTTGGGAGCAGAGGAATGGGTAGGAAGTGGAACAGGATGTGTAGTTGAAAGAGGAGGAATTTTTATCTCTTTTTATAGGAGTTCTTAAAGTATATTTGCATCATCATGAGACTTATCCAGTAATTAGGAAGGGATTGATCGGGCAAGAGAAAAGAATGTTCCAACAGATTGTCTTTAATGGCGGCCGAGGTACTTGATGCCAGTGCAGAAGTGAGGTGGGTAGCTGTGGACTGGAGCCTAAGCAGGGCTTTCCCAGGTAATGGGAGAGAAGGCAGTGTGAGGTGCAGCCTCAGGAAGGTGACAAGTGATGGTGGAAGTGTTTCTCAGATGAACTTTGCCTTTCTTCTGGGTTGGGTAGAATAGGCAGCCAGGGAAGGGTTTGTGTTAGACTTCTGAGGGAAGGAAATACCTGGAGTCTAGGAGGAAGGGGAAGTGAATGGACCAGGACCCCACAATATTAGTGGCCTTGAATTTAATGTGTGCTGGTTGGTTAACACTCTCCTGTAATGTTCTCTTTCGACCATCAGCAGTGTGGGTACTGATTCAGTATATGTGAAATGAGTCATCAAGAGAATTTATTTTTACTGGGGTTCAGGTCTAGCAAATGAATACAACAAACAAGACAGGAGTGAGATTTCTGGGTGAATAGAAGGAAGCACTAACAGTGATGAACCATGTAATCTCACATTGATGAGAGAACACTTAGGACAGGAAGCAGATGAGAGCAGGTGTTCAGTAAGTATAATTCTGGTCTAAATGGGGTTGAAGAATAACTGGAGTCTGGAGACCAGTATGTTGGAAAGATAAAAGCTGATGGCCAGGAAGGAGATTGCTTAAAAGTGAGTTTATTGAGAAGGTACAGAGTTTTGGTCATCTATATGTGTATGACCGTGGGTGAGAGAGATTGGAATGGTGAAGGAGTCAGGGGGAACCGAACAGAGAGACCAGGCGATTGGACGGCTTCCTACGAAGATACCAAAACCACCAGGATCCATGGTGGAGAGAAGATTGAAGAGAATGACCAATCCTGTTCAGACCTTTGAGGTAAAGGAAGATGGCCCTAGTGTCTGTAGTTTGACTGCCACAAAGTAGTATAGCAGGTGGGTTCAGCTTCAGAATGGAGTATTTAAGGAAGAGGGGAGTCAGTTGTTTGGAAGTAATAATGAGGACATGAAGAGCCCTTCCGGGTACAACAGACAACGTCTGTGGAAGAAACAACTACCGTTTGAGAGCACTACAGACTGTTGACACTGAGAGTGAAAGCAATATTTGTAAACTCATTGGCAGCCATAGTCTGTAATGGCAGTAAGAGAATGGGCTCTGGAGCTTAATCATTTACATTCTAGTCACAGCTCCTTTACTTATGAAGTTTGTGACATTAATGCCTTCGTACCTTGTCTTCATCTATAAAACTGGGGAGAATCACAGGATTTGTCTCTGAGGGTTCCTGTGCAGAGTAAATGAGTTAATAACCTGTTCAAACACCTAGGAAACACCTGGCACCTGCAATCAACAAGTGTTCGTCATGATGGTGATGACTAACATTTGATTTGCCTTTGAGGACTGAAAAAGATTATTGATATTATTGTTATTACTCGTTTGAAATTTGCCTCTGGGGAGAGAAAAGCAGATGCCTGGCAGAGAATGAGTAAAATCGCTTCCTGCCCTGCTGTATTTACTCCAATTTTGTTTGAACATTTGGTCTCCATATGATATGTATTGTGCTTCTGTAGCATCAGGCCTCTGTAATGTTAATTAATAACTCTTAACATGCTATTTGCTAATATAATAAATTTCTAAAATCTTCTCAGAAAAGAAATCTCAAAAAAGGGGACCATCTGTTGAATGCCTGTGCCCTCAACAAATGTAATTTGAATTTTACCCATAGGATAAAATAAGTGTCCATTGAATACACATTGATTAAAAATAAATAATTGGATAAATTTATTTCTGCCTTATTTTTTGGTGACTCTGCATTTTTTGGTAAATATGTTTATCTTAGGCATCTTAGTTCTGGTCCCCTTCCCTTTCCAGTTTGAGTGTCTGAATCTTAGCATTTTTATGAATTTTTATGTATTGAACTTGCTGTTCTCCTGGAACTTAATTTTACCATCCTATTTAAGGAATTTAATTTTCCTTAATTCCTTTGTTTTTCTTGCTTTTCTCATCCTCTTATAAAATTAGATTTTTCTGATGCTTTGAGCACTATGCTTTCAAATTTTCCCCATCTGGTAGTTATTCCTAAATTACACTCAAACTTGTGCTGAGTTTTTGTTATTAATATATAAAGCCTACTGATAGCTGTTTATCTCCTGAATAAGAAAATAATCTGAGGGGCTGGCATTGTGGTAGAGAGAGTAAACATGCAGCCTGTGATCCTGGCATCCCATATGGGCACTGGTTCATGTCCTGGCTGCTCTGCTTCTGATCCAGCTCCCTGCTAATGGCCTGGAAAAAGCAGAGGAGGATTGCTCAAGTACTTGGGCCCCTGCTACCCACATAGGATACCTGGAAGAAGCTCCTGGCTTCTGGCTTCAGACTGGCCCAGCCCCAGCCATTTGCAGTGGATGGAAGTAAGCTAGTGGATGGAAGACCTCTCTCTTTGTATCTTTCCCATTTTTCTTTGTAACTCGCACTTTCAAATAAATAAATATTTTTTAAACTTTTATTTAATAAATATAAATTTCCAAAATACAGCTTTTGGATTACAGTGGCTTTTTCCCCCTATAACATCCCTCCCACCCGCAACCATCCCGTCTCCCACTCCCTCTCCCATCCCATTCATATTAAGATTCATTTTCAATTATCTTTATATACAGAAGATCAATTTAGTACATACTAAGTAAAGATTTCAACAGTTTGCACCCGCACAGACACACAAAGTGTAAAGTACTGTTTGAGTACTAGTTATACCATTAATTCACATAATACAACACATTAAGGACAGAGATCCTACATGAGGAGTAAGTGCACAGTGACACCTGTTGTTGATTTAACAATTGACAATCTTGTTTATGGTGTCAGTAATCACCCTAGGCTCTTGTCATGGGTTGCCAAGGCTATGGAAGCCTTTTGAGTTTGCCAACTCTGATCTTATTTACACAAGATCATAGTCAAAGTGGAAGTTCTCTCCTCCCTTCAGAGCAAGGTACCTCCTTCTTTGATGGCCTGTTCTTTCCGCTGGGATCTCACTCACAGAGATCTTTCATTTAGGTCATTTTTTTTCTTCTATGAGTTCCAATAGTCTCTTAGTAGAGTTCTTTGGATCCCCTAAATAAAGAATCATATCATCTGCAAAGAGGGATAGTTTGACTTCTTCCTTCCCAATTTGTATCCCTTTAATTTCTTTTTCTTGCCTAATAGCTCTGGCAAAAACTTCCAGAACTATATTGAATAGCAGTGGTGAGAGTGGGCATCCTTGTCTGGTACCAGATCTCAGTGGAAATGCTTCCAACTTTTCCCCATTCAATAGGATGCTGGCCATGGATTTTTCATAAATTGCTTTGATTGTATTGAGGAATGTTCCTGCTATACCCAATTTGCTCAAAGTTTTCATCATGAAAGGGTGTTGTATTTAATCGAATGCTTTCTCTGCATCTATTGAGATAATCATATGGTTTTTCTTCTGCAGTCTGTTAATGTGGTGTATCACATTGATTGTTTTGTGAACACTGAACCATCCCTGCATAACAGGGATAAATCCCACTTGGTCTGGGTGGATGATCTTTCTGATGTGTTGTTGCATTCTATTGGCCAGAATTTTATTGAAGATTTTTGTGTCTATGTTCATCGGGGATATTGGTCTGTAATTCTCTTTCAATGCTGCATCTTTTTCCGGCTTAGGGATTAAGGTGATGCTGGCTTCATAGAATTTGGGAGGATTCCCTCTTTTTCGATTGTTCTGAATAGTTTGAGAAGAATTGGAGTTAGTTCTTCTTTAAATGTCTGGTAGAATTCAGCAGTGAATCCATCTGGTCCTGGGCTTTTCTTTGTTGGGAGGGACTTTATTACTGATTCAATTTCTGTGTCAGTTATGGGTCTATTTAGGTTTTCTATGTCTTCATGGTTCAATTTAGGTGGGTTGCATGTGTCCAGGAATCTATCCATTTCTGATAGATTTCCCTGTTTGCTGGCATACAGCTCTTTGTAGTAATTTCTGATGATTCCATTTATATCTGTTGTCTGTTGTTCATTCCCCTTTTCATCTCTGATTTTATTGATTTGGGTCTTTTCTTTTTTTAGTTAGTTGGGCCAATGGTGTGTCAGTTTTGTTTATTTTTCAAAAAAACCAGCTCTTTGTATGGCTGATCTTTTGTAATTTTTTGATTAAATTCTGTTGATTTCTTTCTAATTTTAATTATTTCTCTCCTCCTACTTGTGGGGAGCAGGATCCATTTCCCGCAACATGACGGGGTGCCCGGGAGACAAATAAGTACTGAGACTGTGGACTGAAACTAACTCTATGTGTCTGATCTCCCACCATATGGCGCTGAGAGGGAGTAAACAAATCTTACACAGTTGCTTCATTAATTAGCTGATTCCTGATCCAACCTCTGATTGGAAGAAAGCGGTGTGCTCAGCACATGGGCAGCAGAGCACGGATTGGTGGCAGAGGACTATAAAAGGGAGAGAGAGACAACATGCGGGGCCCCCTGAGAGAGTCGGTCGGAGAGCTCGTTGGTGTCGCTCCTCTGTGGAGGTGGGGGAGCGGCAGCAAATCCAGGAAGGACCAGGGAAAGAAAACAGCATCCGGTCCAGTGTCGTTCCTCTGCAAGTTGGGGAGCGACAAGTGGTTCCGTGACTGGGATACGGAATGCTGGGAGAAAGCCGGGAAGGAGAAGGGAGAAAAATAAAAGCTGTGGGGAAGCTAGGCCGTAGCAGAGATGAAAGCTAAACTGTAGCGGAGACAAAAGCTAGGCCGTGATTCGGAAAAGCCGAGGGGGAGAGAGAGACAGAGACAAAAAGCCGCGGGAAGAAAGCCGTGGGGAGAGAAAGACGAAGAAATAGAATAGAGAGAAATAAGAAAGCCAAAGAGAGGAACATAAGAGAGCTGGGAAATGCCAGGGAATAGAGAGAAATAAAATAGAGAGAAATAAGAAAGCCTCCCCACAACATGGCGATGAGAGGACTCGGATTCGGACTGCCTAGGGCGATAAGCACCTGCGGGCAACTCTAGCAGAGCAGAGTATGTGCCGCGGGGCACTGAAGACAAGCATGTATCAATGCCACAAAGAATAAAAAGAAGGGGGATCTATGGGGAGCAGGGTCCGTATCCTGCAACATGGTGGGGTGCCCGGGAGACAAATAAGTACTGAGACTGTGGACTGAAACTAACTCTCCCACCATATGGAGCTGAGAGGGAGTATACAAATCTTACACAGCTGCTTCGCTAATTAGCTGATTCCTGATCCAACCTCTGATTGGAAGAAAGTGGCGTGCTCAGCACATGGGCAGCAGAGCACGGATTGGTGGCAGAGGACTATAAAAGGGAGAGAGAGACAACATGTGGGGCCCCCTGAGAGAGTCGGTCAGAGAGCTCGTTGGTGCCGCTTCTCTGCGGAGGTGGGGGAGCGGCAGCAAATCCGGGAAGGACCGGGAAAAGAAAACAGCATCCAGTCCAGTGTGATTCCTCCGTGAGTGGGGGAGCAACACTACTAGTTTTGGGTCTGGTTTGCTGCAGTTTTTCTAGATCCTTGAGATGCACTGAAAACTCATTTATTTGGTGCCTTTCCAATTTCTTGATGTAGGCACCTATTGCTATAAACTTTCCTGTTAACACTGCTTTTGCTGTATCCCATAAGTTTTGGTATGTTGTGTTGTTATCTTCATTTACTTCTAAAAGTTTTTGGTTTCTCTTTTGATTTCTTCCGTGACCCAGTGTTCATTCAGCAGCATGTTGTTCAGTCTCCATGTGTTTTCATATGCTCCAGGGATTCCTGAGTTGCTAATTTCCAGCTTCATTCCACTGTGGTCTGAGAAGCTGCATAGTATGATTCCAATTCTTTTGAATTTGCTGAGACTTTCTTCATGGCCTAGTATATGAT